TCGGAACCGATTTGGTTGGAACCCTATTCAGCATGTAAATCACAGTCTCTAATGCGTATCCCCAAAAGGATGTGGGTAACTCCGAGTGTGCGAGAAGTGACCGGACCATATCAAGTAAGGTCCTATTCCTCCTCTCTAAAACACCGTTAAGTTGTGGTGTAGAAGGAGGAGCTAACTACGATACTATCCCGTTGACCTTTAGGTAGTCTCTAAATTCGTCAGAGAGATACTCGCTATCTCGATTGGATCAAAGGGTCTTACTTTCTCTCCCCAACTGTTTCTCAACCTCTTGTCTAAACTCCTTAAACTTTTCAAAGGATTCAGACTTGTGTCTCATTGGGTACACGTAACCATACCATGCAGAAGTAACCAACAAATTGGTTTTTATGACACAGGATTCGGGATTACTTTTCTTGGATTCCAAGTAGGCAGGACAGTTTCTTCTCCAGTGGCCGGTCTGGTGACAATGGTGACAGGCATCGGATGCCCTATCTTTCTTCTGTTTCTTGGATTTGTTGCCCTTTTTCTGGGGTCTCTTCTTAGACCTCCTCTTCTTGTCCCGCTTGCCTGCTTCCACAAGCATGGCGACGGGCTCATCCTTACGAATCAGTTCCTCAACTCGTTGCAACATATTGTTGAGCTCTTGTAAGCTAACGTTCAGCTTATTCATGTTAATTCATGACAAACTGATTATAGGGCGGAGGTAAAGAATTCAGAATGGCATCTACCTTGGTGACGTGGTCTAGCCCGGAACCTAGGGCTTCCAGCTTGTTTATGTATCCCATCATCCGAAGACAATGGTCATGCACTTGCTGTCCCTTGGTCATTTGAGCGGTCATGAACTGCTTCAAGACCTTTTACCGAGTAGAACGATTCTACTCTTCGTACATAGTTTTCAGACTGTCCAATATGTCCTTGGCCAATTTGATCTGATCGAACTGCCTCTATATTGGATTGTCCAGAGAAGCTATGATATAGCAGCGGGTCAGGGAGTTCTTTTCCTCCCACTCCAGGTAGTCCCTTCTGCGGGCCTCAGAAGCCCGATCACCTGGACGCTCCGGGGTGAGGTTTTTGGCAACTTTATCCAATTTTTCAAAAGTCAGTACCAGCATGAGGTTACGGTACCAGTCAGCGTAATTAGGGCCCTTAAGTTTGTTGTCATTAAGAAGCTTGGTGAATTGTCTGTTAGCCATTTTCTAGTAAAATAGCAAACATTAGTCCACAACCTAATTTGATTCATGTTCATTACAGAGATATGGCTTTTAATCCATGTTCCATTCCCATTTGTTTATCTTTGAGATTTCCCTCCCATCTCAGTGACGGAGATAGCGAATTGTCTCTGGAAATGTGGAAAACCACATAGGGTGCATGGAGCCAACTATTTCAGCTACAAAACCCCACCACCTTTCTGTGAAGGATCATATCCACTCATCATATGAGTTTTCCCTTTGGCCTCTGT